TTATCGTTGTATTCAGTTGACAAATTTAAAACGACGTGCAACTATGTTACCGGTAGATTCAACTAGAAAATTCGAAATAACGTAGGACTATGTTATCAGTCGCGAATTTATTAAAATAGGATGACGTGGCTGACGTTCGTTTATTTCTCATTTAATTAACCCTTTCGCTACCATGATAGTATTGCGCAGGCAATACAGTTATGACAAAAGAATAACTGCAACTTTCTCTACGTCCATTTTCATTGAAACTAACAAATTCCGTCATTAATTAAACAGCGTTGCTCACCTCGTGATCGAGGGCGGATCGTCGGAATTTAGAATCGAGACGATATACTACGGGAATTGTAAGTTGTACGTGTATTCGAAATTAAGGGGACTCACCTCTTCTTCGGCTTCCTTCTCGATGGCAGTTAACGACTCAGCGTCGGCAAGGTTATCAACAGCGATGGCCAAGAAGACGTTGAGTAGGATATCTGCAGGTTTCCTCTCGTCAAGGAACGTTTCACAAGAACAGAGAAGAGTATTAGTTCAGAGCCACTGAGGCTCAACGTCACTGACACCTGTTAGGTATACGATAACGTATGCACGTTTTCACGATCAACTGGGCAAAATGACGCGCGACTGAAGACGAGGTGTTTGCGACTGATTTCTCGTCTCGACTTTTACAGGCAAAAGGATACAGTTACCGCATATAAAGAGAATGATGAAGTAGAAACAAGCGAGCATGCCAAAGCTTGCAACACCGCCGTAGGCTCTAATTCCATCGTACATAACGGCGTTCCAATCTTCGCCGGTTAATATCTATAAATTGAACGATAACGAGGCTATGATCGATTTTAGGTTTCGACGAGCGCGACGAGGCGGCGGGGATGGGGGCCCTCACCTGAAAGACGGTCAGCAAACTCTGCCAGAAACTGTCGAAATTGTGACGGGGCTTGTTCTGCAAATCGCTGAAATTGAATTTTCCGCCGAACACCTGCGAGAAGAGAGAGAATAAAAAAAAAACAAAGTAGAGGCTGGAAGCTGGACGACTCGATGATATTCATCGACGATAGTTGATATCGAGATGAATGAATCATACCTGCATGCCTAGGAGGGCAAAGATCACGATAAAAAGGAAGAGCAGAAGCAACAAAGACGCGATCGATTGTATCGAGTTTAAAAGGGAAGCCACCAAATTCGACAACGACCTCCAATATCTACAAAAATTTAATTTTTATCGATTCAGCGGTCAACTCCTCATCCAGAGATTCTTCTTTTTTTTTTTTTTTTTTTTT